ATACATACTGACAAAAAACAGTGTGTCAAAAAGGAGAGTATTTTCTTGATACCACCATTATTAGTAATTTTTTTAAAAAGCTATTTTCAGAATTTTGATAAAATCCAAACATAAAACAGGATTTTTTTTTTTTCTCAAGAACTGACAACAAAAGACTTAAACACTATTTTATTAGATTGCTTATTTACAAGAATAATTTCATATTTACAAGTCTATAGAAATTTGTGACTACAATGCAATATTTATTATTTATTATTTTATAAAGAAATAACTATGAAAACAAATTTGTTTTATTCATAAATTTATAAAAATGCCTGTTAACAAGAAAATTTAAATAAACATATGGGTAACTGTAAGTATAAATTTTGAAAAAAAAAAAAAAAAAATTCAACATTTTTTTCATTTGCTTCCACCAATCAATTCACTAAAATTGGTTGTGAGCATCTAGATTTAAACTTTTTTTTCTTCTCAAGAATTGACAACAAAAATGTTAAACAATTTTTTTAATAACTTGTTTATTTACAAGAATAGTGTTTAATTCTTTTGTTGTCAATTCTCAAAAAGAAAAAAAAAAGAGAGAGAGGGAGAATGCATAAACATTCTGTTTCATATGGGTTTTATCTAAATTCTTAAAATAATTTTTAAAGCAGTAAAAATTTCTGTCTATATCTGTCAAGGTATTATGATTACTTGTATTATTTACGTTATTCGGACTGTTATCCTCATCTTTATTACCATATTCACAACATTTCAGCCGGTGTATGTTCCGGCCTTCTTCAGGTGACTGAAATTTCAAACTAGAACAATCTACTCCAGTGGACAAAATGAAGGGTTTGAAATTCCAGTCATCTGAAGAAGGCCAGAGTGTATAACAGCCGAAATGTCATGAATATGGCAATGCAGATGAGGATAACAGTCTGAATAATGTAAAAAGCCATAAAAATTGCCAAGAATTTACGTTAACAGTAGTGTTAATATAAAAACCACCCTTTTGACACACTGTTTTTGTTTTTTTTGTTTTTTGTTTTTGTGGGTATGTATGTTAAACTTTGCCTTAATCAGAAATCACAAGAAAGAAAATGACTTTACTCCCAGTGGAGGCTAAACCCTTTTAAGATAGAGATTTATTCTGAGAAATAAAAATATTTTAACCTAAGGAAAGCACTAAAAATAAAAATACAATAAAATAAAAAAAATAAAATAAATAAATAAAAATCCCAGGATAATGGCCTTCACTTTATATATAATAAAAAAGTATACAGATGAATTGGTCATTTATAAAATGCTTCTAGTCAGAACTTCCAACAAACAGTAGGGTTGAGCAGGACAAATACCTAGTGGGCTAAGGGACTTAACTTCTAACTTATATAAATTATGATAGCATTAATAATAAGAAAAGTGTAGGAGAGAATAATGAAAAAAGATATTGGAAGTTGACAATCAAACCCGAGTTTACAATCAGGAGGAAACAAATAGCAACAAACAATCTAGAGTTGAACCAGATTACAAGTTATATTCTGTAGAATTAGTTATCACCCTCTATTGATTTGACATAGAAATGAACATTTGAAAACTTGAGAAGCAGAGCAGTTACACAGCCAAACAAGAAAGCGAGCAGCAACACTGTCATTGCTGCTGCTGCTGCTGTTAGTGATAAATATGATTGTACTGCTTCTGCTGATGCTACTACTGCAGGAGTGAGGCAGGAAATTCTATTTATTGGTCAAATGTAGGCAGTTGCAACAGAATGCATAATAGTATCGCATTTAAGAAGACCTATCATTATATTGAATTAGGATTTACTCTTCCCTCCATCAAATTTAGTCATTTTGGTTTATATTACTTTATTAGTATTTTTAATTCCGTTTTTATATTATTCAAACATCTATTCCATACCTGATTTTTTTTTTCTTTTTACTAATCAAATTTCCTTTTATTTGTTTTTATTAGGAGTTCTCGACTTTAATAATTTAACAGTAAATTTTTCACAATGATGAAGATAGACAGATTTTTGTATTGAGCTTTTTTTTCTTTTCTTTTTTTTTTTTTTTTAGAAAGATTTAGTTTTATATTCTTTTCTCTGTTTGGTATTCAATCACTATCAATTTCATATTTTTGTACTTTATTCTGTAGATAGCTTCCAATTTAGAATTATTTTTTTTATTTTACCTTATTCATCTCTATGATTTTCTTATCTGTACTGAAGTCATTTTGAAAGAAAAAAAATAAAATTTTTACACATTCAACCTCTATGCTATCTTTAAATGTTATATATAACAATTTTCAAATAACATTAAATTTATTTGCTTAAAACATTTATTTTCTATACATTTAAGGGTGGATCAATAAATACATAATCTGGTATATAATTATTAACTAAATTTTGATCTGAAATTTCTGCTCTATAATGTTTGAAGGATACATGGCTAGTGTAACGGTTATTGGTGTGAAAATCAGAATTAGGAAGCAGAGTTCAAGTTACAGTGATTCTGTTTAATTTATTTTGCACTAATGCTCTTAGAAAAGGCATGAATCCACCTTCCCCCAGTTATGGGTTAAATACCAGACTAGGTTCCCTTAAGTTTAGGTAGCAACCACTTTAGAGGAAGGAAAATTAAATTCAAAACCAGTCTGAAGAAAGATGGGCTCCATCAGGTTATCTTGCCTTAGACACACCCACTGCTGTAGTACATGTAGTGCCCTACAATCCAAATTGGTAATGGGATTCATGATAGGACATCAATTTAATGTTTCACCTATGTGATTATACTCACCACTTAATCAAGTGCAATGACAAAAAAAGGAGATTATGTTGAAAAATGAATATTTGTTAAGATAAATGATTTTTCATTAGTTTGTGGACTTACTTGTTATTCCTGTATCCACTAAACCTATTATTAGTTTCAGTAAATGGGAACTATTTTTAAAAAATTAGTAATTTAAATCGAGTAGAATTTTTTTTAACTTATGAAAAAAGTTAAACAAGAAAAGCCCTATATCCCAACAAGCTGAAGAAACTTTTTTTTTAATGAAAACAATACCATATATATTTGCATATAAGCCTACTTCATAAAATTTTTGTAAAGAACCTGATTTTTTCATATAGCTTGTATATAATGCACCCCAAGTTTCTGAGTAATACTAGTAAACCTACTATAGTCAAATATTGCAGAACTGGACATCTTTTATAGCAAATAAATGGTCTTCAGTATTTTTTGTACAAAGTTACCCCAGAATGGTGAGAATCGCCAAAAATGAAGAAAAAAAAATATCTGTGTATAGTGCAACTAGTCACCAAAAATGCATGATTTTTTTTAACCTAAAAAAAAAAATTATCTGTACTTAGTGTGACCACCTATTTAAAAAAAAAGTCACACTATACTTAAGTGTATACGGTATATCAAATTAAGATAAATACAACTTTAGTTTTTTATTGCTCATTATTATTAAAAGTATTAATCAAATCACATTAATATCATTGTTATATTTACTGTTTTGTTATTATTGTAAAAAAAAAAAAAGGACCCCTTTTTTTTTTTGGCTATATTTATCCTGCCACTACACTTTCTTAAAGAATATGAAAAAGAAATTTAAAAATCCATATAAATTAAGATTTGGTAAAATGAACAAATTAAACTGATTCAAATTATAGCAGACATTATTACAACTTATTCTATTAATTAATCAGTTTCAAACAAATTAAAACCTCTTTTTATTGAAAATTATTAATAAGAGATGATATTCTGTCTGAGTGGATACAAACTTAAAATAAAATTTAATTAACTTATAATTTATAGAGAAAGAAAAAAAATTACCCAGCATTTAAAACATCAAATTATTTACACTATTTACATTGTCCTCATCTTTACTGTCATATTCATGACATTTTGGCTATTGTATGCTCTTGCCTTCTTTAGGTGATATAAGAAAAAGGTCGGAGTATACAATGGCTGAAATGTCATGAATATACCAATAATGATGAGGATAATAGTCCGAACAATGTAAATAGTGTAAATAGTTACAATACTTCATCTCAGAAATATAGACATATCAAATTATTAATCTGCAGAATTTCAACTCATAAGCATGTATAGTTATTATTCTTCTTCTATGTGCTGGATACTGGCAATCATGTCTCTCCACAATTTCCTTTCCTTTATAGGTCTTAATAAATATTGTCTTTTTCTCATCTCTCCTAAACCTTGTTCCATCATCAATTTACTCAAGCTTGCTAGATAGGTTATACAATGTTTTCCTTGGTTTCTCTTGACTTCAATACGTCCAGTGATTCACCCATCTAGGTACTGACCAGGCTTGATGTTGCTTAACTTTGGTGATTGTATAGCAACTGGTGTTTCAACAGGACATGGCCGCAAGCTTTATATTCCAATAGTAAATTGATATAAGAAAACAATTTCTTACATCATTTTAGCTACTAGATTTTTTGTGGTGGTGGGGGGGGGCTGAAATCATCTTTAAAATATTCAAATAAACTAAGAATATTTTTTCTTCTCAAAGTCTCTGTAAAATCTTTTCTTGTGATTAGTTACAATTTCATGCCTTTTTTCAAACACCCACTATTCTAGAAGTGCTACTCCAATTGTTAGTCATTTATATCAATTTATCTTGAAATAAAATTTTCCAACACTGGAATAAAATAAAAGTTGCTTTTAATATTTATTATATCTTGTATTTCATTGACTTTTTTTTTTCTTTTTTTAAATCAATTCACCGCAAGCAAGAAGAAAATGCCACTAAGACGTAAGAGGCTATTTGGGAGTGAAAGAAAATGAAATTCTCAAGATATCAATAATATTCTAAAATCTTCTTTTTATTAAATATTAAAGGATATACATTTTTTCATTAAGCTACAAGGTGTCATAACTGTCCAGAAAATACATGTTTTTTTTATTTTTATTTTGTCAATCTAAAGTTGTATCAAGTTCAAACTAATTACAAAAAGATCAAATCAAACCATGAAACTTGAAAGGTGATTTGGCTTATGGCCATATCACATTGAAACACCTGTTCTCATTCAATGACCAAAGTTAAGCAATTCTGAACCTGGTCAGTACCTAGAAGGGCAACCACTGGGGAATACCAAGTGCTGTAAGCATCAATGTGCAAGTGGTGTAATGGATAACAGCTTTGAATTGGAAATTGGAGAGCTGAGTTTGAATTCCAGCCATCTTCGTTATATTCACTTACGTGCAAATAACCTTGGCAAAGGTATGAATGAACATCATCTCCAGCTATGGGTTAAATAGAAAGTCTTGTATCAGAAAATTAATATCTATCCAAAATTCTCACAATCACAAAATGTTTTGGCTTTAAATAACCTTAAAAAGGTTGATAAGCCATGTGTATGTGTGTGTATGTGTGTGTATATATATATATATATATATATATATATATATATATATAGTTTTAAGGTAAAATGGGTTATGGGTTAAAGTGCACAATATCAAGAAATAGAGCATACGTAAATATAAAAGTGGACATGGCAATGCCTACTTATATATTATAAATAATACCAATTTGTAATTAGTAGGGATTATTCCAAAGAAGACTTTAATCCAATGAGAGCTCAATGTAAGTTACAGAGCAGTTTATAATGATATTATATATATTTTACAGTAAGGTTTACCCCTGTACAAAAGCCAGGGGTCACTTGAGATAGAGGGTTACGTTAGGAGGCAATTTATGTGAATAGGAGGGGAAGATAATGGTTAACTGCCTGACTCCAAAACTCACAATTACTGTTACCAATTTCACAAACCAATGCATTAATCTACTAAGCTATTGCCTTGCAGGATAAACGTCTGCGGAGAAATTGGAACCTTAAACCTAACCTATCTGCTGATGAGTGCTGCTGCTGCTTGTCGTGCTTGAATGTATTCACTGTAGTTTATCTTTTTGTTGCATCTGCTGCTGTTAAAAACTTGTCAGTTGTCTTTCTTTATTAGCAACTCAACAACAAAGTTGAAGACAATAGTTTGCCTATAGTGTAAATAATGATAACTCCTCATCCTAGAAATCTAGACAGAGATTTAAGGGTGCTCTTTTTCAAATTAAATTTTAATACATATAAATAAGTCAATAAAACAAAAATGTTGTTTTTATGTGAGTATGTATGCATCAAAATGAACAAAAATTTTTTTGCTAATTTCAAAATTTAACCATCATCCAGTATTGAATTCTACAGATAGAAACAAAAGTCACTTATGGATTTACAATTGCCAAACTAACTATCCTCTAGGCCATTGTCCCATAGAACAATTTTGTGTGGAGAACTTGGAGCTTTAAACCTAACCTGCCTGCTGATGAGTGCTTCTAATACTTGACTGCATACAGAAAAGCTTTTCTCTTTTGTTACAGCTGCTGTTGTTGAAGACTTGCTATCATTTGTCTTTATTAGCAGCTCCTATATCATATTTATTTCCAAGCTAGGCCTACTAAGATGGTCCACATAGGTAGAAAGTTTTCTTTCAGATTCAAAGAGCATGTCCTAAATTGCAATGATGTACCATATTTGATAATATATAAGATTTGGTCCGGTTCAAAACAAGTTTCTATTCATGCATTTATTAGAAAATTATACAATTCTAATATTTCATGAGGGGAAGTGAAACTGAGATGCTACAAAGTATAGTATGTTTTAGTTGGCCATCTTGTCTCTAGTAAACATGTAGTGTAGTGTTACTGACTCATGGAAAGTAGTAAGCACTCAACTGCCTCAGATAATAGCTGTAGCTATTTATAGTCTTTGTGACCTCATATGTAAGTGAGTCACTTCATCTTCCTGTACTGAAGAGGTTTTACCCCTCTATTTTTCCTGGTACTTCCTGGGAGCTTTGTTTCCTCGCTATCTTTCACCCTCTCCTTAAGAAATTGCCTCAATATGGGACTCTCAATTTCACTGTCATGTATGCTTTTTTTATAATTTTGCTCCTTTGCATTGTTGGAGGAACAACTGCATCTCCATATTATAAATTACTCCCTTTTCTATAGTTAACTCGTGTTTAATCTCTTTAAAACGCCTTTCTTCTCATGAGCAGTTATTCCACTTATTATTTTTTTTATCCTGAACAATAAACTGTTCAACATGGGATCTTGTTTCATATCATCAGCTAATTTGTCTATTAACAAAATATCAGTTTCAATCCACTGTAAAAGACTATCTTTGAATTTTTCCTCCTCTTTCTGACTTTCAGAAGTAACGTACTTCTATCTTAAAGCGTCTACATGCAGAATGGTATTGCCTTTCACGTACTCAATATCAAAGTCAAATGCCATTAACATTAAGGCCCATCTTAGAATTCTAGATGATGTTACGTCAGGAAGTTCCTTCCTAAGATTAAATATGAATTCTAAAGGTCTAGGATCAGACCATAGTAGGAATTTCTTTCCAATCAACAACTGAAAGCGCTATTTGTCGTCCATATTATGGCCAACGCTTGTTTCTCAATTCAGTAGTTCAATTCAGCTTTTGATAATTTTCTTGAAAGATGCATAATAGGACGGCCATCCTGAGCTAATATTCCTGAAATAGGGTGTTCACTTGCATCAGTTGTTACTACTAATTCCTTTCGAATATTTTTACTCCTGGCTTCTTTGCCAAAACAGCTTTTAAATTCTCAAATGCCACTTGTTCTTTTGTTCAAATAAATTCCATGTTCTTTTTTCTTAAAGCAGCAAAAGGTTCTGTCAATTCAGAGTATTGCTCTACATAACGTCTGTAGAAATTTACAAATCCCATGAAAGATTCCAATTCTTTTTTGTTGTTAGGTACTTCAACTTTTAATAATTTGTCAATTAACGATGGGTCTGGTGATATGCCTTCATTAGATATGGAATATCCCCCCCCAAAAAAATGATACAGTTTTTGTTAATTCAGCATTTATATACCGAACATTTTTGTTTTTCTCTTTAATGTCAATATCCATTATTCTGTCTTTTTTCTTTATCACATATGTGTCCATTTCCTCAACCAGATTCGTAACTTTTGTTCTATTAAATTTTTGAATTAATTCTTGTTGCTGAACAAATTTGACACACTTGTCTAGTAACAATTTTCCCAGTTGTAAATGCGTTAGTCATTTGCCATTACTCCTGTATTTAAAGGCTTTTACCAATTTCATTTGGATCAAATCTTTGATTGACTTTTTTTTTTGATCACAGTTACTCAAATTCACAATATTTAGTGGCCTGTTTTAAAAACAGAACATATTTAATAACTGGTTCATTCACTCTTTGGGAAATTTTCATGAACTTAGCCTTCTCTGTATTCACTATTTTTTTCTTGGGTGTTATATTTTTCACTATTAGTTGACTTATATCATCAAATGTCATTTCCTCTGTTTTGGGTGTGCAATTGCTGATAACTTTATAATGGCCTCACAACCAGCAGTTACCAAGAAGATGTCTGTTATTTGGTTTTCTCCACCAACTGATCTTAAATGCTTCAGCCTTTTGTTCTAGCTTTAGTGGCTAGTATCCTAAGCGTATTCATAATTATCCAGTGATAATTTTTTTTCAGTTCTTTAGATATCAGTATGGTATGTTTTAGTTGGCCATCTTGTCTTTAGTAAATATGTAGTATAGTGTTACTGACTCACAGGAAATAGTAGGCACACAACTGCCTCATGAATTATAGCTGTAGTTATTTATAGTCTTTATGACTTCATATGTAAAAGAGTCACCTCAAATTATAAATGCCTATAGCTCCCAAACTACTTATGAAAACTACTTAAGCTGCTCGGCCCGGGGGCAATGATCAAAGTGTAGTACGCTGCCTTTGTGAGCTTCCGAGTCAGCGTCTGTCGAACTCTCTGCATTATCAGAGAGGAACCCAGACGAAGCTTTGCCAAAGGGCAAGGTTTCATTCGGGGAGGTAGACAGGGCCTGAATCCGTCTAGGCGGGTTCAAAAAGGCTATATTTTTGGCCGAGCCTACGGGCTCGGGGATACCCACATTAAACCGGTCTTGTGCCACATTCTATCCTCGTGGGTGGATTGATAAATACTAAACTACTTATGAAAATTTAGTAGTTAATCCCCTAGAATGCCTGCTATCTAAGGCTAGAGAGCCTAGTCTACTCTATTATTTAAGACATAGCTAAATTTATAGCTGGTTGATTTGTTTTCTACAGCTTACTAACCCTTTGCAGGTTATTTAAAGCCAGAAAATATTTTTGGATTGTAAGAATTTTTTTTTTCAAGATAATGGTTTAGTGATAAAAGTCTTACTAATTAACCTATAGCTAGGGAGATGACATGAACTCACCTTTCCTAAGGGTATTTGCATGTAAGTGAATATAAAGAACCCAACCGGAATTGAAACTTGGCTCTCTAATTAACAATTTCAAGTCACTCTCCTTGACACCACCTGCACATCCAAGCTGACACCACCTGCACATCCAAGCTTACAGCACCTGGTATTCCCAAGTGGTCAACCATCTAAGTACTAACCAGGCTCAATGTTGCTTAACTTTAGTGATAACCATAAAGAAACCGGTATTTCAATGTAATGCAGACATATGTCCCATAGTTGAAAAGTCAGAAAAATGGAGCATTAATGTGAAAGTAACTGGGACAGACAAAAACAGAATTTGAAAACTGACAAATATCTACTATTTTTATTTTATTCAAATCAGATTTTTCATTGTCAGTTATTTAATTGTGAACTTATAGGACCAACCATTCTTTAATCATTCCATCCCAAGCAATATGTTAATGCCACAATGACACACAAGGTTACTGAGAGTAGGATAGAATGAGAAAAACTTTAGTGAGGAGAAAGGACAATAAAAGAACAGAATTCAGGAAGAACTTATGGTTAAGTCTAGCTATTTAAACAGTAAAACAGTGGGACCTAGTTGACAATCTAGTAATATGCTTAAATTAACACAGTCGAGGTACCAAGAAGGAGAACTCAGAACAATTGCCATGAAAATAATTATAGAAAAGATCGAAACCATGTCATGGTGGTGGGAAATTGAAGTTGAGATGCTAGGTCAGAATTACAGAGCCTACTTTAGATTTTGTCAAGAATCTTGAGAGCCAGAGTACCAGACCAGATATGGCAGCAATATTCAATGAATTGTTGATTTATAAAAGTACAAAATGGATTCCGATGAAAAAAATTGTCTGACGCAACACAGTAAACCAACCTTCTTAGCAGCAGACCTAGCAACTGACAATATAATCACTCCACATCATGCCAGTAGAAAACATGAAACCAAGAAGGCACAATTGCTCTCCTGGTGGTTAGAATCAGCCATCTTCAAAAGAGGTTTGGAAAAGACCACACTGTATTTTTGTAGATTTTTTTTTTTTTTTTTAAAAAGGTGAATAATAATTAATATACTTTAAATTTTGCATTTTGAATGTTATAGATTTGTTGATAGAGATAATATTTTAGCCAAGTACTCTCTGGCCATTGTCAAGTGTTCATTGTTTTTTTTTTTAACTAATTTGGGATATATGTGGATTGTGCTTTCTCCCTGTGATACCAAGAGGAGAAGAGAGACGAGAGGAAAAAAAAAAAAAAAAAAAAAAACGAGACGAGAAAAAAAAAAAGACGAGAGGAAAAAAAAAAAAGAGAAAAAAAAAAAAAAAAAAGAAGAGAGGAAAAAAAAAAAAAAGAGAAGAGAGGAAAAAAAAAAAAAAAAAGGAAAAAAAAAGAGAAGAGAAAAAAAAAAAAAAAAGAGAAAAGAGAAAAAAAAAAGAGGAGGAGAAGAGAGACGAAAGAAAAAAGAGGAGGAGAAGAGAGACAAAAGAAAAAAAGGAGGAGGAGAAAAGAGAAAAAAAAAAAAAGAGGAGGAGAAAAGAGACGAAAGAAAAAAAGGAGGAGAAGAGAGAGGAAAGAAAAAAAGAGGAGGAGAAGAGAGACGAAAGAAAAAAGAGGAGGAGAAGAGAGACGAAAGAAAAAAGAGGAGGAGAAGAGAGACAAAAGAAAAAAAGAGGAGGAGAAGAGAGACAAAAGAAAAAAAGAGGAGGAGAAGAGAGACGAAAGAAAAAAAGAGGAGGAGAAGAGAGACGAAAGAAAAAAAGAGGAGGAGAAGAGAGACGAAAGAAAAAAAGAGGAGGAGAAGAGAGACGAAAGAAAAAAAGAGGAGGAGAAGAGAGACGAAAGAAAAAAAGAGGAGGAGAAGAGAGACGAAAGAAAAAAAGAGGAGGAGAAGAGAGACGAAAGAAAAAAGAGGAGAGAAACAAAAGTAAAAAAGAAAAAAAGAGACAAAAGAAAAAAAAAAAAGAGAAAAAACAAAAGAAAATAGAGGAGAAAAGAAACAAAAGAAAAATCACTAATATCGCTGGGAAATGTATGAATTTTCTAAAGTACTTGATTTTTATCACTTTAAATGTTATCTTTAGTGGATACTCATATTTGAGTACATGCTATATTTATTTAACAGTATATTTATTTATTTTCATCTACCGGTCTGAATATTTGAGAAATCTTATTAAAGCACATATTTTTCTTTAATGAGATTTCTTGAATATTCAGGCTGGTAGACAAAAATAAATATACTGTTTAATAAATAAATGGAACATCTACTCAAATATGAGTAGACACTAAATATGACATTTAAAGTGGTAAAAGGTATGAATCTACCTTTTATCCTTCTAGCTATGGGTTAATTAATAAGACTTGTATCAGTAAATCACTCTCTCCCAAAAAAATTTTATAATTCAAAAATATTTTCTGGTTTTAAATAACCTGCAAAGGGTTGATAAGCTGTAAAAAAGCAAATCAATCCAATCAATTTTAGATGATACTTGTGTTTGGTACAAAAGAGTACCAAATTTAGTTATTGGCATAATTCTTTAGACAGTTCCATCAGAACTTTCTTTTTTAATGTACCTGATGTTTTACGTGAGAATTAGAAGTTCTACCAGGATTCATTATCAGGAAGAGACTTAAACTTTCTAGGGTACATAATGAGGAAAGAGGGCTTGGAAAATTTGGTACACACAGGACATATTGAAGTCAAGAGGGACAGAGGAAAGCAACACATAACTTACCTAGTGAGCTTGAGTAAATGGATGGAGCAAGGTTTAGGAGAGATAACAAAAAGACATTACTAAGAGTTACAATGGACAGGAAATTGTGGAGAGCTATGATCACCTACATCCTGAAGGAACATGGCATATAGAAAATTTTTTATGCACTTAATGTTTTTTTTTATTGTTTGTTAATGGTACTGTTAACTCCTTCCATTCTTTTTGTTTTTCTTGAAAGTCTACTGCTGGGTATTCATAGAAATAAAATACCCTCTTAAAAGCAATAATAGAGGAAACTGAAGAATAAAATTAAAATACTGCAAGTGGATATAGCATAATAAAAAGAGAATAATTTCTTATCTCACTCTCTCTCTCTATATATATATATATATATATATATATATATATATATATATATATATATATATATAATTCAGGAGAAACAGCAAAAAAAGCAGATGAACTGGTAACATTCAAGAGATAGCAAGGCGGCAAAAGTAATGTAGAATAAGGAGGGTAGTTATGTTATCTGTAATATCCAGCCGAGGAGGAGGGTGTCTGATATAATGGTGTCATATCAATAACAACAGCAGCAACAAGAACAGCACACAAGTGGTGATAGTAGTGACAGTAATATTACCACTGATGATGATGCTTGTTTCTCGTAATGGCTAAAGTGATAAATAGTATTAGTTCAATAGGAGGATTGGGTTGGGCAATGGTAGAGTGATAAGGACATTGTCAATGAAGATGGAGGGAACAATGAAAAAGGTTATGAAGAGTCTTTTACTGATGATGTTCCTTATCATAAAGTACAGGTCTGATTAAACCAGGAAAATTAGTATTAAAGATGGTTGTGGTCAAAGGGTTAGTCATACTGACAATACAACTGATGTTAGAAATAATGATAGTGAGTTTAACAGTGTAAATGAAAATACCAAATAGTATTACCAATTGCAATGATAACTAATGATGATAGTCAGGGTTAGCATGTTCTACCTCCAGCCATTCCCTGACTTTGTGGGGGCAAGCCTGTTTGGGGGCCCTGGGAAGTGCTTCATGATTTTTGCTATCTTATCAACATTTGCTTTTTTTCTACCTATATTTATATACGTTACAAATAAGACTAATCACAAATGACTATTAAAGGATGAAAAATTTTCATGGATTTTGACATCATTTTGGGGTTTGTTTTTTTTGTTTTTTGTCCAAATCGATAAATTTGTTTTGCTCATGCTAAGTCTCAAAAAAATACTATATAAAATTCACTATTTTTTATCCATAATGTTGAATGTGTTAAATTTATTTAAATTTTTTAAGAAAAAAAAAAGTTGATGTTAAAAATTGCCACAAAACATAGATCTATTTAAGATGGAATGATCTATTATGACAGGTCTCTAATTTGTATTTAGAAAAATTGTATTTATTTTCAATTTTCTAGTTAAATTGTTCACCTATATTGCATATGATCCATTATTGTACATAATTAGGTTACAATAAAATTTGTATTTTATATGAATACTACCTTAGGAAAATTGAGATATAGTAGAGAGGGGAGGGGGGCATGAAACCCTTGCACCAGCCCTTAGTAGTATTACCGATTACAGTGATAAATAAAGATGATAGTTATAGTAGCACTGATGGAAAGGATAACAGTAGCAGCAGATGCAGTGTAGGAATATTGTGCAATACATGTTGCTAGAGATGGTTCACTTCATAGGCTTGTTGTACTACTAAAGTGTATTGATCCATTAGTTGTGAACGACAGGTTATTTTCTGAATGTGTATATATGTATCTGATGCTATTGCATACACTGTTCACCACATTTTTAGTGGGCTTCTAATGCCAATTTAATGCAAAACACCATTCATTCAATTCTTTTCCTGTAGGCATTTTAAGAACAAGATCAGCAGAAAATGTAGTAGAGAAAAATTTTTGATAAAACACTTGAAAATATAAAGAGAGAAAAAGGATTATAAAAGAAGAATGATTTCATATCTATTTAGAGATTCTTGATAAAATCCAAAGAAGAATCAGCAATATTATTGGTCCTGTCCTAGTGTCTCAGCTTCAGTCACTTTCCCATCACTGTAAAGTTGTTTCCCTATGCCTTTTCTAAAATTGTTCAGATGTAGGAGGCATGGTGGACTAATGGATAGCGGCTCGGATTGAAGAATCAGAGAGCCAAGGTCGAATTCCAGTCAAATCCATTACATTCACTTACATGCTAATACCCTTGGGAAATGTATGAATCCTCTTCTCCCCCAAGTTGTGGCTAAGTAGCAGGACAGACCGGGTTCAATAGCGGCTCGGATTGATGAATCGGAGAGTCGTGTTCGAATTCCAGTCGAATCCATTTCATTCACTTACGTGCTAATACCCTTGAGAAAAGTATGAATCCTCCTCTTCTTCCCCCAGCTATGAGTAAATATCAGGACAGACGGGGTTTCTATAGCAGATGAACTGGTTGCCATCCTAGGCAACTGGTCTACTGCAGTCATGTATCGAAAGATACG